CATTTTTGTCTTTTTTATTTGCCATGCCAGTTCTGTTTTCAAAAAAATGTTGCCTAACTTCTTTTTAATAGTCTTTTTTTTGTTTCATTTTGTTGAAACCATCTGTTTTTTTATAACAAAAATAAATTTATACTTTTTAATCTTTAACAAATGAACTTTATATACGTAATCAATAACTAATAATCAACCCTCGGAATTAAGAAAAACCCTAATTCTGAGGGTTGAATAATTGATTAAAAACTTCAAACACTTATTATAAAAATAATAAAAATAGATTATATTAACATAGTAATTATAATTGAACAATAACAATTGAATAATAGATTCTTTAGAACTAAAAGCCAATAATTTTATAGTCCAACTAATAACCTTTAATTTCAGAAAGACCCTTTCCTTTTTTGTGGCAGAATAAACTGAAGCTTGTATGGAAAGCCTTGCTTATAAATTTTAAACATACCTTTCCTTAATAATTATTGCATTATCAAGATATCTTAACTTGACAATATGAAATTCGTAAGGTTTTTTTGTGGAGAAATCATTAAACAGGAACAAAGGAAAGGTACTGTTACTTGTCATTCAAAGTGCTCAAAATAATCTCCAACAACATTTATTGAAAATAGAAGAATTATGCAAAAATATTGGTGCAAAAATTGGTAAAAATGGAATAAATAAAACTGTAATTTTGACAACAGATACAATATCTTGCTTATTAGGTTTATTAGAATTTACTAGTTTTCTACAATAAAGAGATCAAAAGCATCAGTTCAGTGATTTTTTATTAATTATAATTTTTTGTTTGGTGATATATTTGTTGTATATCTTCATTCATATTAGCTTTAATATAACAATTTATTTTTCATTACTATTGTTTAATACTGTTTTAGGTCCATTGTCTGTCTTATTTATTTTTAAATATTCTTCTATTAATCTTTATTTTTGTCTTGACAACTGTCAAAATATGCTTCGTTCAAATTATTACCATTACACAGAATGCACGATATACCACAATTATCTAGCCGAACAATTAGCTGAAAAAGATACAATAAAGCTTTAACTTATATTAGAGTTAATCTCTCTTTTATTATACAAAAATCAGCTCTTCTTTGCTTACCCGGTTCGATGTCAACTCCATCAAAAAATATCTCCGAAGCAACGGATGATTTTGGACTTTTATTATTATGATTATTCATCAATTCAGTGTTATGCTCAGTGATTTTTCAACTGATTTTTGAGAGAAAACTTTTGATAAATTTAGGCCACAATACTGCAAGTGCATATTTTATTTCTCAACAAGCTGTTGAGAAAATGCATATTCACCATGCTTTATTATTTTCAAAATTTAATGCAAACTTTTATGACTGCTCATCATTCTTGTGATGGATGTATTTAACAACTAAATGAAGAAATTTTTGAGTGAAATTTTTGACATATTGGATGACTTAAGAGTCTCTAAAATAAGTAAAAAAGGGATTGGGTTTTTATTGCTGAATACATTGTTCACAAAACCAAATAGGATAATTAAAATAATAAAATAAAAGAAGTTTAAGTTTGAGTTTTCTATTATATTTTATTTATAAAACTAGATTTTACTGTTATGGTTTGTAGAAAAATAGTATCTGAATATTTTTATTTGATTAACCAATTTTTTGCTTAAAAAATAGAAGATTTTTATTCAGCCTCTTTCACATGATGACTTATAATGACATAAATTATTGTGACAGCTTTTTTTAATGACTTTATTAAAAACAAAAACAAATACTCAAAATTCTAATATCATATTATGAATTGAAATATTACCATTATGATCATAATAAAAATAAGAAAACAAATATAATGAGAACAACTTACAACAAGAACAATACAATAATAACAAACAATACAATAATAATACAAAATTTGCTATAGAGTATGTTTGATCAAATGCTTTGTTAATGAATTAACATCTAATTTTAGTGACAATAGATGAGCTTGATAATGATGTTGACGTGTTTGTGGATTGCGGAATCAGTCAAGAATACATTGGCTTAGAAAAGTAGAGATTTAAGGAAGGTTATAGACAAGAGGCTATAGATACATGTCATACAAACAATCAATCAATATATTCTGAATTATATGATTTTACAATACACACAAAATATATACTGATAGACTATACAATAATTCTGAACTTAAACTGCTTAACTAGAAATTAACTATATTTATAAAATTAATTTGAATTTTTTATGTAAAAAATGTAACAAATATGGCATACCAAAGATTCATAGTATCTTATTTTGAACAGCATTAGGTTAACTTATTTTGCATTGTATTGATTTCAATGTTAAAAAATTATATATTTTTATCACAATAATGCCTAAACAGTTTATCTTACTTACATTATTTTTTTTTTTGAAGATAAGGTTTTTTTTAATACAAATTAAGTTTTTTCGTAATTTTGTTGTCATAACATTTATATCTTATGTTACCTTGTATATTAACAAGGTAAAAAAATCAGTATTTTGGTATTTATGGACATTTTATTATATTGGAGCTACTGAAACAACATACAAGGTCTTGATTGAGATACTGAAACAACATACAAGGTCTTGATTGAGATTGTTATTAAATTTTTTTGATACAATTAGATTGGTAACATCACTGATGTCATTAGCAAAGTGATGTTGAAAATCTTACACACGTGTTTAGAATCTAAACACGAATTTGTAAACATGAATTTATAAAAATCAAAAAAAACATGGAATAATTTACGTCCTTTTTTTTCGTTATTTATACAAGCGATTTAAATTAAATCGCTCATATAAATAAGCAATCTAATTTTTTTAATCGTTTATCTTTTATTATAGTATAATTAAGTTAAGAAGACAAAAAAAAATGTGTAAATAAAAAGTAAATAAGAGTTAAAAAACTTCATTTTGTACGACAATTTTTGTAAACAAACTGTTTTTACTAATCCAAAAATATTTAATTTGTCAAAACATAGTCATAAGAAATTCATCTATTTCTTATGACTCGGGTCAAAATAAAGCAACTAAAAATGTAGTTACGAATTGATTCTGATTTATACTAAGTCCATTTAATATGCAATTAAATTAATTTAGGGGTTGTCCATAAATACGTCACGGTATAAGGGGGAGGGGGTTGATGGTTTTGTGACGACTCGCTTCTTAAGTATTACGATTTTGTGAAGAGGGGGGGGGGGTGAGTTCGAAAACGGTCAAAAATTGCGTGACGTAATTTATGGACGACTCCTTAGGCATCTGCGTAAGGAGGAAAAATTCCGACAACCGCATATTCTCGCAAAATATTTACGACCTCTTGCAGTTTTCTGCAAATTTTTCTTTTAATTTTACGACCACTGCGGTTAATCGCGGCTTAGGTCGAGTTTAGTCGGTTTTAAACGGTTTAATTACATTTTGTAAAACATACAAGATACATAAGCAAGTCTATTATGAATGTTATGAATGTTCAAGTTTTTCCTGCAGGAAAAAAAAAGAGAAATGGACAAAAATTTTAGCACATTTATTTGCAGCTTGATAGTTTTTAGCATAAAAATTGATTTATGAAACAGATTGTATGACTTCCTAATTAGTTTGCTGACAGTTTAAATGGTTAAATTTTTTTCATCACATTACTGCAGATTGCAAATTAAAAACAAACTGATCTCTAGAATTCCGCAATATACCGTGTAAAACCGTGTATTCCGTGTAAAACCGCAGTAAAACGACCAATCCAGATGCTTCCGCAAAATGATTAGCAACGCTAATCTCGGTTTCAATAAAAAATTACGCAGCTCGGAAAACCGCAAAAGCCGCGTACGTGCGGGATTGGTCGGAGTCATGCGTAAGAAACGCAGAAGCCTAACTATACTCAAAAGATACTATGACTCAAAATGAGGTTTTGATTTTTTTTAAAAACGAAGACCAGATTCATTACTGATTTAAGGAGAAATGTAGGAGAGTGCTGCTACATCGATTGATCTATACCACTGATCTCCAAATATAACTGGATAGCGTATACTGAAGCCAGTTTTGGCCTCCCAAGATGGCGGCGTATTTGGTTGATTACAAATTTAGAAATATTTGTTACGAACTTTTATATTTTTTTTATATAAAAATAAATATACAAGCCTTAAACAAAAATGCAATTTTCGGTTTTACATAGCAATTGTTTTAAATAGAAAACACAATAATACAAATTTACGTAAATTTCTAATATATATATATATAATATTTTGTTTAACAATACTCTTAACAATCTCTCAAACAATATTACTAATAAATATTATACTCTTATAGTATCACAATATATATTACTAATAATTATTGTACTCAAACAATATATATTGCAATAAATATTATATTCTTAACAAATTACTCAAACAATAAGTTTGTGTAATATCTTTCTCTTTTTTCAATTTAATTAAATAAAGTTTTTTAGTTAAATTAATTAAAAATAAGTTTATTTAAGGTAGTTCATACCCTTATTTTTAGTCAAAAATCTAAAAATAATATTTTGGTTTTTTATTATGCAAAATTTTATGATAAATTCAAATATGTTATTGGAATTTATAAAAATATTAAAAATGTTGACCAAAATTCATTTTTGTGCAACCCTACAAAAATCACGCCCTTAGCAACACCATAGCAACGGCTCCTTGATATTGAAATAAATTTCATTACCAGCTTGAAAACTTGTGTTAACAAGATACAAAAAGTGTTAGAAAGCAAGACAATACTTATTTTAAAATCCATACTTTAAAATAACATTTTTTACTACGTGAAATTAGAGTTTTTTAATTTGCAGTCTTTACATTTGCCAAGTGATTCTCTTTTGTTTATAAAAATAAATCAAGGGTGTTTAATTTTAGAAAAAATTAATTAAAGTATGCCTAGATCAACTCTTTCAAATCATAAAAGAAAGTGAAATTTTGTGAAATTTCGGATGAAGTATCTCGTCATCAATTCTGTCCACGTACAATAAATGGGTGGTGCGCCTGGCAATCAGATAAATTACTCAAAAATTAACATATAAAAAAAAACTAAGTTTGCCACTATCTATTAAATCTCTTCTGATACCAGTATTTCAAGATCTTTCAAAA